CATCCCCGATTAAAGTCCCACGGACCTGGTAGCTGCTCCTACTGTAGTTCAGTTCCCTGGATGGGTTATATGGAGAAATGGCATTTCACGGGTGGTGTGCTGCATCCTGAGAGCAGAGCAGAAGCTGCAGTATTGCAGGCCACAGTTGAGCTCTCTACTCAACTGTGACCACAACTAGCTGACTGAAAAGTTTGCTTATGCCTATTTGGAGGCCCTTGGAAGTATGTATTTGGGACTGTGTGTGTAAAAGAAGTAGCTGTATGCTTACTTAGTGTAGTGCTTCAGAAAGCAGTTCTGCACTTCAATCTGTTACCCTTGGGGATTTTTCTTCCTCTTGAAAGTTTTATTGTTTTAGTCAACAGTAATTGCTGAGTAGTTTCTTTTAGCAGTGTTCTATGCCTTTCTTCTAACACAACAGGTCTGTTTTCAATATTTCCAGGTTGTTCTTTGGCTGTTAATCTTTGCGTTTTTGCTCTCTATACATTATTAGTCTGCTTTTTGGCTTCAATGTTTTTTTTTTTTGTTATCTATCTTTAGAATCTAGAGGAATGCTTTGAAGTACTTTCTCTCTATACCTTCTGTCAATTCCATTTAAGTTTTTCAGTAGTGGGTTAGTTTTAATGTAGGAAAGAAATACACCTACCTACTGCAAATATCACCCTAAAACTCTTGAACTGCTTTTGTTTAAGCCAAAAGAAAACTAGCCTTGTCTTTTAGCCTGAAACAAAGCACAGTGAGCTTCAAACCCAAAGCAAATAACTTTGCAAGTTACAAACAATTAAAAAAATGGATGTTTTCATTCTTTTGTAGTGCCACAGTGAGTGGTGCTCACAATAGCGGTAGGTTTTGATACCATTTTTGGTTGAGTGTTTTGGCTGAAAGAAACCCACATGCATGATATTTCTCTTTAAGACCATAATGACAGTGGGCTAACAGCTGTGAGTGCTCTTGGTGGTTAGCTTATGAGACCTTGGTTTGATTCCTGTCCAGTGAACATACTCAGGGTATGTGTCTGCGTGGCTTACACGAGGTTTGTAGATATTTTAATATGCCAGTGAGACAAGCTACATGTTTGGTGGGATATTGGTGGTTAGAGTGGTTAAGAACTAGGAACCAGAAGGCATAGGACCAACAAAAACTTTTGCTAGAGAAAAAAAAAAAATCTAGTTTTTTATTCTAGAACAAAAGTCTTATCAGGCAAGTTTTGAGAAGGAATAAAACTAAAACTGCTGCTGTTGTGTGTTGGGGTTAAATGTTGCTTTTCCAGATGTACAGCACTGAGTTGCTGAAGTGGAACCCTGGTATTAATGTGTTCATACTATATTATAAATTATGTGTGTACGTCTAATCTGTATCCTTTGATACAAACCAGACCCCAAGGCCTGTGATGGAACTGATGGTTATCATCAGCACATAGCACTTCGCACACACAAACTGCTGCACAAATGTATGGCTAAACGTTGTGAGGCCTTTGCAGAGTAGGAAAAATTGTCCCTTTGGGGGGCTTTGGATTGAATTAATGTCTAAGCTAGGCCAGTGGTCAGTTAATTGACCACACTGGTCTGTAAAATTAAAGAAACTGTTCCCCAACTCTGCTGTTTTATAGATGTTAGTAACTTTCTTCATTAAGCTGTCTTCTTACAGGCTCCCACTGTGTTTTGAAAACACTGAAAATGCTCTTGTGAAGCATCTTTTTAACTTCTTAATTATTTAGTCTCTTCTCCTTCTTTGAACAGTTTTCCCCTAAATGATATTTTTGCCACTTTCTTGCATCTTGTTTAATCATATGCTGATTCAGAGCAGTCAGATAGACTGGAGACATGGAACTTTCTGTACTTCTTTTCCATACCTGGTCAGTTACGCTTGTGGCAGAAAGTTCATCATGTGTCAGACCAGACATCTCTTTCAAGAGACGTAGAGGAGAGACAGTATCTTTTTCACTGCATCTGTCTCACTGCTGTTGGCAGGATTCACATTTCTCTGAGTGGTTAATGTCCCTTGAGAAACTGTTTGTCAATTCCCTTGAAAAATGTCCCAAGGTTGCTCCAAGGATTGAAATATTCCATCTGCTACTGTTGCTCTTTGCAATCAGGCTTTTCTACAATTGGTGAGTGGGAAAGTAAGTTACCATATTTGTGCAGATGTGATCCTCTGCTATTATACATACACACGCAACACTTGCAAATTCTGCTTTTTCTTTTATTACCCTATAACCTGTCGCCATTTACCCTTACCTTTCAGTTAAGTATTGTATCATCTGTATACATCCTCCCTCTGATTCCTTTATCCTTGCTGACTGTCTTTCCTTCTCTTACTACAGTTATTTTCAGCTGTGTTACCACCTCTGTATCCAAGCCTTCCTGCTTCTCCCTTTGTCCTAGATTCCTTGCACAGACCCTGGCCATCTGTTCCTACCCTTTGCATCCTTGTTCTATGTTAGCTTTTCTTCAATATCTTGCCTCCTTCAGCTATTCCTTTCCTTATCCTCATCTTTTGTTTGTTGTCATGGGGATACTCACTGTGACTTCCAAATAATACACAACAAGCTGTGGCTTCAGTTTATTTTGTGAATTGTTTGGTTTTGAGGACAATTCAAAAACTGCAAAACGTCCAAAAAATTAAAATCTATGAGAGAAGAAAGCAAAATCTTAAATAAGACTGTGTAAAAATTTTCTTTGCTTTTAGGCAGATGAAGGTCTTTAACCTCATAGCATGGCAATCTTGCATGTTGTGTAGGTGAGAATCTCAGAAATTTCTTTATCTCCAAAGTTTGTCATTAGTGTCTGTTTCATGATTAGATGATGTAGAGTATAGAGGATCAAGAAAATAAGATACCAAACTGTTAAACGTGCTTCCAAGCTGGAAACCAACTTTTAAGGTTTGCAATGTCCTGAGAGCTCCTTCTGTGCATCCATTTTAGTGAATGCAGAAAAATTCTGTAAGTATTTCGTAAGTACAAGTAAAACAGGGAAAACGCCACCTTTATGGCTTCTCTTGCAGAGAGCGCTGGCTGCTTCTTTGCACTTGTGGTATAAGGGCCTAGATAAGCTCCTTGGCTTCTCCACCTTCTCTGCCAGTTTTGTTCCAGAAAAGTTCTTTGTTCAGAGGTGCCAAATGATGTGTACTCTGGTGTTTGTCTTCCCTGGGCTTTGTGAACTGCAAACTGCACCTGAGTACTTGTCCTCTTCTGAACTGTATATATCCCTCTGTTTAATATGGCATAATGTGGGGACTAACACACCCAATTTTTTAAGAATTTTGTGGAAAGCCCAGCAGGAGTACTATTTAGCTATCCACCAAAATTAAGACGTTGGTGTACTTCAAGCCACATACTGAAACCTACACTGCCTCTGTGGTTACTTGCACTGAAAGCAATAACTAAACAACTACATAAATCGAAGAAAAACTAAAACTTCCTTTTAGAAAGGAAACCTTGTTTGTATGTATGCTCACACATGCATGAACACAGAGTAATTATTTTTAAAAATTGAACTACAAAAGGAACCACTAAACCCAGTGAGCTGCAGTTGGGCTGGGTCCTAATCTGTCTGGACCACCAGAATGGAGTTTCTTTTCTGGCTTTTCTTTTCTGGCTGATCTCCAAGACTTGGCAATAAGCTCTGCCTGGTATTTGTTATGCATTTACTTCTAATATGTATTTCTGAAAATATGAACCGAACATTAATTTCAATAGAAATTGAGAAGTGACTATAGCTCCAAAACCATTCAGTTCGCTTGTATGAATGGGGCCTTGGTGTTTCAACTGCATGATAGAGATGATATGAGTTAAATTATCAAGGCTAGGGATTGCATGAAATGTCTAGGAATGCTTTTCCACTCAGTGGGTTCCTCAGTAAGAAAGGGAATGTAGAAGTGGAGGCTTCATGTGAGGGATTTTGGGCTAGACCAGAATAAAACCTGGGCTCTGGCAGCCGTCTTTGTTGTTTTCACAATTAGTCTGATATACTAATGTTCTACCTAACTGATGCTCGGAGCATCTTGAAACTAAACCAAAAAGTACTTTAAAAGCTCTATTGTTTCTCCTTTTTTTTTTTTCCCTCTTTTGTTGGTTTCAAAGGCAGTAACTGGTTTTCAAACTACATTTTATTAGCTTGTTTGGTTTTTAAATTCTCATTCATCTTATTTAATATTTCAAGGGGCTTTGTCCGATGCTGTGTATGTGTGTCCTTGAGGTGCATGTCCTGCTCAGCTAAAAAAAGTTTCCAAAGTATCTCTGGAAAACTGCCAACTGAGTTGGAAGGGCCTGGTTCAAGATGGGTGGTAGGTTAATGGAGAGAGATCTCTCTTTCCAAATGTAATTGTCCTGGGATAACAGGAAAATGGAAGTATTCACACCAGCCCTGCGAGATGTGACTTCTGTGAGATTCCTCTGCCTCAGGCATGAAGGAAGAGAACTCTGTGAGGTCTGGGAGTGTGAGGGAGCGCAGTAGAAGGGGGCCATTGCTTTACAGGCCTTTGAGCTATAGAGGCTTCTGTTCACCAGCATGTAAAAGGGATTGGGGCCATGCCAATGGCATGCCAGACTTTGGGAACACCAGTGTCAGCTGCTGAGCAGGTGGACCTGCTACAGCCTTTGTCACTGCTTCCATTGAATAGGGAGAGCTGGAAAAGGACCAAAGGAAATCATCTAATCCAAGACCTCCATAACATGGAGTCCTTTGCACAGAGATGCCAGATTATAGTATGAAATAGGATTTTGGTCTCATGCTGAACATGCAAGATTATGCACCACCATAGCAAAAATTTCTTATACTTAAAGTTGCTTCCTGTAATTCTTATCTGTGATTCAGAGCCTTGGACTTACATTTGGGTGCTTTTGTGTTTATTTTCTGTTTATTACATAAGTTATAAATATATATATCTTAAAAGGGTATATACACCTACTTATTTAAATATATTAATATGTATACACATTTTAAAGGTATATTTAACATACGTTACTGAAAAAGTTTGATTTTGTTCTGTGTTTCCTTTACCAGTTTGCTGAAAGCAGTCAGAAGAAAGAGGCTTTACAAAAAAGCATTGAGAAATCAAAAATTGGACGTGAAGATACTGTAAGTTGCTTTGAGAGGGAGGCAGTCCTACAAAGGAAATAGACCTACAAGTATGCACTTCTTGTAAATGCTAGTGTAGTCCTTCCAGGTACTTTGAGACTTAAAAATATCTTAAAACTTGAACTACCCGGAGGTATGTACTGAAGTCACCAATGGTTGCTGAACTGCCAAATCTAGTAACAACAAATTTAGATGTTGGAGTTGTTTTTTTAAAACTTAAATGTAATTTAGCTTGCTAAATTTCTGTTCTAAGCAGGCACGTAAGCCCAGTGCTCTTTGCACGCTGAAGCTGTTGACACTACAAAATAATATTTAGGCTTTATGTTTACTATATGTGGGAAGCAACATATTAGTTAGAAATACCTGATACGGTGTTCTGTGTTGCAGATTTGCACTGAGATGCTCTGTCTAAAGTCCAATAAATAAATGTATTAAAGAGGGACAGCCAGAAGCTTTCAGGAGGAGTTGAATTTTGTAGTGAAGTGCCAAATCTTTGAATTCAAACTGTTCTATAGAAACAATCTAGGTTTTTCCTATGTACACTTCTTTTACCTATTAAGTAATAGAGTGAACTCTATTGCCACTGAAGTCTGTTGAAGTCTGCACTTTCACAAATTTAATTAAAACTTGATTTTTGCCAGTACCTTTAATGGTGATTCTTTACACATCCTGACCTCTCACTCACAATGGACTGTAAACAGGGAATCGTGGATGGGTTTCTCACACAGTTGTGCTTGTCATCTTTCCAAATGAACTGTTCCAGATTTGGTTTGCTCCAGCATGTGTTGGAGCTATTGATCCTGGAAATCCTGTTTTGGCTGATGTTTCCAGTATTTTGGTTCCTGGTAATACATGAGGAAGAAGTCCTGAAAAATCTAGATCACAGTGTAGGTCTCTGAGCATCTTAACTCCATACCTCAGCATCTGGAAACCTTTGTTTTCCATTCATTCTGCATTTTCAGAACATGCTGAATCCAGACTGTTGGCAAAAGCACTGGGAATATGGAACATTGGGGGAAAAAACCCCAACAAAACCTAAACAAAACTCCACACCCACAAACACGTCACACTGCTGGGCTGCCATGGAGACTTCCACTGGTAAAAGACCTGATGGTTTACAAACTCATACTATCTGGTTCTTTTAGGCTACCCAGTACCCTGGCATGAGTTATTTGAGTATCAGCCAGTACAGTGTTTGTCTGTAACTACAGACTGAATTAGAAGTATGTGCTGAGTTGGCTGTGGGAGAGCTCATGTTGAGTCAGTGTCTGCAGATTCTTATTGATTGATAGAAACTTTGAGGTTGATATTGTGTACACTCCCAGCAGACTACCGTGTCATAAATGTCTGAGCTCACTTTTGAGACTGCTGCTCTCAAGTGGTGTGGGCAAATAAGAACAATAAATTCAGAGAGTGTTCATACACAGCATAGCAGTTTGTGGAAGGGTGGATGGTAGGTTTTCCTGTAATGCTGTCTTTAATTACAAGACTAGCACTTGTTTAACCTTTAAACCCAATAATTGAGAGATCTCTTTGAAGTTTGTCACACCTCGTTGAGTTCAAAGGTTGTAGAGAATTGTTCTTTTGTTTATCTATTTTGGCCTTAGTTTTTTTTCCTTCCAGTCTGTACTTAGTATCACTGAGTGTCACTGAGAATTCTGTGTAATAAAATAAAATGCTCAAGTGGTTCATTGACAGAAAGCAGTAGTGAAAGCAGCTTTTAAATTTATGTATTGTTTTTCTGAAAAATGTTCTGTGTGATAATTACTGGTTTTAATGTTTGTATTTTTTTTGTGTCTCCCAACATACTTTGAATCCTCAGGCAGAACGTGCTGCTCTAATGGAGGAACTTGCTGCCCTTCGACAGAAAAAAGAGCAGCTAAAGGCAGAAATAGACAAATACAGAGAATGTGATCCAGATGTCGTTGAAGAAATGCGTAAGTTGTATATTTTTTAAAGTGATCTTTGGTGTGAAAAGGTCTGCATTTCTTTAGCTTAAAATCTGGCATGCAGAGGTTAGTAAAAAACTAACTGCTTTTCTTTCTAAAGCTGAGTAATACAAAACAGGTACACCATTTCTTTTCATGTTCTGTTATATATGAGGGGTTTATTGATATTTACTCTGCAGTTAACAAACAGTCTCATAATTAAAATATTCTGATGCTTTCCAATTGATATCAGGATCATTCTTTCTAGAACCATATTAATTCTATCAACTTGTGCCGAACCCTAGAATGTGTGTAGGAAGAGTAGTTCCCACTTACCTTCAGTTCCATGCTGGCAAAACAGATACTTACTTTGTCTTATCTATTTAGAACATAAGCATTTCATTAGAGACGCTTAATTGCCGCATACAAAAGTATGGTATCACACTGTTGACTGACTGTACTGTCTCTGACGTGCTGGGCTTTGATTGGAGTTTCTAATTCTAATGGAATACAAGGAATGATGAGTGACTTTAATACTTAATACAAAGTTGGGCACTGAAATGTACTTAATATTCTGATCCTTAGCATGAAAAATGAAAAGCATGCATGAAATTCTGTTGAATTTTCTCCACTGCAACCCTCATGTTTTATTTATTAGGCTCTTACATTGCTACTGAACACCACTGCCTATTGCTGTAATGCCAACATGCTGCTACAGAGTGACGAGAAACAGGCGCAGTCCTTTTTCTGAACAGATACGTGGCTGAATTTTCCTCTTTCTTTATTCTTCTAACAAAGTCCACAGCTTTAGAAATGTTCTGAGAGGAAGCCAGGAACATAAACAGAGTTGGCAGCACACACCAAATCTGGACAGATATTATTTATTTTGAGGGGCTGTGTCATTTTTTGTCAGCTGTGTTATCTTTCCCTAAGGATGTAACGGTATGCCAGGGAATAAGCAAACTCGAGACCTGAGGTTAGTTACTGTGCCGTAAATCCCTGGCTGCCTGCTCTCCTGAGGACAAGACACATTCCAGCTGATTCCAGCTGTAAAAATGAACGAGATTAGGCAGATACTGACAGCAGAGGGATGTGTAGTGTCAGGTACCCTTACATTAAGCATTGCACTGAATGGTTTGAGGAGCCTCCTTTCTTGAACCAGTCACAGTGAGCATGTTCCTGAATATCAGGCACAAGGGGACAAATCACAGCTTGAATGCTAGGGCAACTGCATTAGTTGGCAACGGGGAGACTAATATCCTGGAAAGAGGGAAGCAGAAAGAAATGCAATACCTATTTACTTAACTTATGTTCTTGTCTTCTGTTTGTTTGTTGGGGTTTGTTTGGTTGGTTGGTTGGTTGGGTTTTTTTGTTGAAAGTGTGTGGAATGTGTCCATGTGAACTTCTGTAATGGAGGCATGAACAATTAAGGGAGTTGGTGAGGTTAGCGCTGTTGGGGGGGGGGAACATGGAGTAGTGTTTCAAAATTAATTTGTCCTTGACCTTTAATTTAAAAATTGTTTCTGCTGCGTTATATGTTTTGTCAGTTATTATTGAATTGGTAGTGCACATTGTTGCTGGCAATGTTTTGAGTGAATAAATGGCCACGTCAGTTTGGGGGAGTTAAGGTCTATATCAAAGCTGGATGGAATTTTACAGGCTTTAAGGGAAAGTGGGAAAGGGGGGAAAAAAGGGTTGGGGGGTATTTCTCTTCTTTCAGAGTGCAGAAAAGCGCAGAGGCAAAACAGGCTGCAGGAAGTTATGGTTTTTAGTGTAAGAAGGCAATAAAGAATCTCAAGCAATGGAAGGCATTCAGCTAGACATGAAAGTAATGGCTACTGCTTCACAGAAAAACCTTATAATAAAAGTTACTCATTCACAGATTTTAAAGTTATTTTGAACTGCGAGGGATATGATTTTCTACTTCTGTACAATTTAGATAATTGTGATTATTTTCAGTTAGATCACCTGAGCAGATTTCTAACTCTAAAATACCTTATTTTAGAGTCAGATATTAGAGATGGCTGTTGTGTTATAAAATTGCACTCTTAAAAAGAGTTGGATTGTTCAATAGAATGTGTTTTGTCATGGGCAGTTATCGCTTTCTACATTTGGGTTTTCCCTCTTCTTCCTTATTGACTTCAACCTCTGAGGAAATCTTTCTAGTGTCTGGTATAAAATGTCACTCTATTAATTTCTCATCCCCTATCATAGAGCTGCTTTGGTTCTTCTTGTGGCATTTTAGGGCTGTATTGAATTGTCATCTGTTTTCAGTGGCCTTCAAAATTGGTGAATGCTTTCCTATGTCTTTTTAGTTGCTCATTCTCTCAAAGGAGTATTGCAGAAACAAACCCATTGCACAGCGGTAAACCTTATATAAAACACGCACACACACACATATTATTTTCAGGGTCAAAACAAAGTTTGGATGATTCATAGCAAATATCTGAAGACTCAGCTAAAACCAGAACATCTGTCTTGCTTCCTGAATCTTGTGGTGGGAAAGTCAAGTTTGACCATGTAACTAAATATACTATAATGCATATTCACAAGGGGGCAGATTGGAATACTAAAAAATACTAACTCTGTTTTTTGCTGACTTCACTGCTTGTTCTTTTCATATCAGTTACAAATGTTTTGCTGTATGGTTTGGCTTAGTTTCCTTGGCTTTTGTGTTAGAAGTACATTGAAGTATAAACTCTTAATGCCTACCCAAGTTCACAGCATTTCAACACAGACTTTCAGTATTTGTATATAACTAACTAGAGTAAATAGCAAAAGAAACAAGATGTAGGGCCAGACCACTAGAGGAAGCTACGTAATAGCCTAGTCTTGTGGATATATTTGGATAATTCCATTTTACAGGTAGGGTATTTTAAAAATAGAATAGCAAAATATGAGGGTTTTTTTTTTTCTAATGACCTCTGCAATTCAGTGGGTGAAGTTTGTCTTTGCCACTTGGAAACGTTCTTTAAGACATCTTGTGTGAGTTAGGAATGAGTAATAAATTATTTCTCAACATTAAAGGCAGTAAAACTGACAACAGTCACTGGAAGTAAAAAAAGAAAATAGTGGCGTTTTATACTTCTCTATTAAACTTGTAATCCTGCTTCAGATGGTGCAGGATGGAACCCTTGTTTCTCAGCTTTGAGGCATGTTTATTTAGGGTGGAAGATACTCTCATGGGAAGGCAGCCATTGTAGAGAGATTCGTCCAGTAGAAAAGCTTATGTGGCATAGCATGCATGTGTGCAGTTGGATATGTGTGATGCTGCTAGATTCCCTGAAGGTTGTGGTAGAGGGCAAAGGCATGGAGAATGCAAACTTACAGTAGTTCGTAAGTTATCCAGATTTTTATAAAGTCAACAGAAAAAACTGCATGGAACATCAAGATTAACCTGCTGCGTAAGTTTAATTCTTCCTGCCTGCCAGAGAGAGATGTTAGGGAGCTAATAACATTTTTCTCACAATTGATTTTATAGAAAAGTTTATCTGACGACATAACTGTATAAATGATGGCGACTCTGAGTTGGTCAGCTTGTAACTGGAAACAGCTAAACATTTTCAATGTTCACTGTAAAATAAATACTTCTAGAATTTCCAACTTCTTGTTCTTTCACTGTAAATAGAGGAATGTTGATTTAAGTTTTATTAAAAGATTGTTAGGTCTTAGCTAATTTTTTTTTTTTTCCCACAATAACCGTGCTTTGGTTACTGTGTGCCTTTGCTTGGGACATCTGTCTCAGAAATAGTTACGTACTGACTGGAGCAAGTGACCGCCATGTAGTATGACTGCTAATATTTATGAGACTTCTCTTAGATGTTGCCTGTCAGAATTCCTCTTTAATTTAGCATGTTTTTATAATGTCCAGTAGCTGATAATTTTTATGTCTAGGCTTTTACCTTTAAAACAATGTTCTTAACATGTCTAGACAAGCTGTATTCTCAAAAATTAGCAAACTACCGGATACAACACATGTAGCAATTTTGGTGTCAGCTTTTTTACTTTGACTCTCTTTGTTTATTTTTATCCTGTAGCAAGAGAGGCAAGTGATTCAAATGGACATGATTTCAAACCACAGATATCCTTTTGACTCTCTGAATGTGTGATCTCAGAGGCATCACTACCAGTCCAGTTCAGTGTTAGATTATCTTCTAAAACTAACGGGTATGTGAAAATAAGTTCTGGGATAACATCCAGACTTTACTAAATACCATGGCAATGTTATATGCAGTGTGTACTTAAAAGTGTCTTTTTTCATTGTAGATGCTTCAAAAATTTCTAATTCTGATGTTTCTAAACACTGAAAATTTCAGCTTGACAAACTGTTCTGAAGGGTTATATCAGGATATACACACAGTATGAGAAAATAGTTCAGTCTCTTCATTCATCTTAATATCTGAAGGCTGAATGCTGAAAAGTTAATGTTGATTTACCTACTTGATTTTGTGGGGTGCACAGTTTGAGAGTTGTTTTTTTTGGTGGAGATTTTTTTGGGGAGAGGGATTTTTTTTTTTATTACCACCCCCCCCTTCTCTTCTATTATGCTCAATTAAATTAGAAACTTTGTTACATTTGCAGGTGTACTTCATGTTACAAAAACTTAGTACCAAGTTCTGGTTTCTTTTGAGGGTTTCTTGCTAACAACGTAGTAGACCCCATTCCCAGGAAGGAAACACTAGTGAAGAAATTAAATGAAGATTAGACTATCCTGGCTAGTGGAGAGGCTTTAAAATGAGTTGCATCAGTTTTGCTCAAAATTCATCAGAACGCTGATAAAAGGTTTATCAAAGGGTTTTACAAAAGAGTTTAATAGATTTTGTTTTATTTTGTGGCAAAGATGATTGTTCAGAACAAGTATTACTTGAACTAAACAACCTTGTCAGCACTATCAGTTATTGAACTATCAAGTATCTGTTTTTTAAAAATGTAGTGATTCACTTGGAAAAGTGAATGTCTACAAATAATTATAAGCATGGTCTAGGTGCCACCAAGATCAGTGGGGTACA